TCATTGATGATCTCGACTAGGGCGTCATACTCCTCATCAAGACCATTGACAATAAACGAGTTGAACTCGGAGTCGGTGAGGGGTTGTCCAATGGAGGCCAGCGTGTCGGCGAGACTCTTGACTTTGTTGTAGAACTCAGTGGCGGTGGAGTCAAGCTTCTGACACTCCCCAAGTTGGCGACGGAGCCCAGATACACGAGCCTGCGACTGTGCCGCAAACGAGCGCTCAAGAATAGTCCATGCCTCGTGGGACGTCTTGGCGAAGACAACAAGCCCAGCAACGGCCGGAGAGAGCGACCCCTGGATGGAGGAGAGGTTCGCCTGATCCTGCCCTGTCCAGACACGGTGAGCCGGATTATAGACCGGACCGTGCACGCTGTCAACCAGCGCAGGAGGGCAAGGGAGAGAGCCGTCGACATAGCCAAGCAGATAGTGACTCCCAAGAAGCGGAAGAACCTGCGCGCGCCAGAAGATGTAATTGTCCGACGACAACTTGATGGTGATGAGATGGCCGAAGTGAAACGGCGACGGCGGCTGCGATCCCATCGAGGAGACTGGCTGAGGTGAGACCACCGTGGAGACAGTCAGAGGGGCAGCCGGCGCGGTGACAGAGGGCGCGATGGCCGCGGTTGACGCCGCGAAGCCTGCCAGCGCGACGTCCTCCGCCACCAGCGGCGCAGTGGCCGAGGGCGCGACAGCCGCGGTTGACGGGGCGGCGGCGGTGTGGGCCACAAGCGCCTGCCCGGGCGAAGTAGCAGCCGGCGGGAGCGCGAAGAGGGAGCCGACGCTCCGTGTCCCGATCGGCGCCTGAAGGGAGGCGGCATCCAGCGGCCTCAAGAGAAGTGCCGCGAGGGAGGCCGGCAGAAAACCGGTGGCGGTGGAGCCGGACGCAGCGGCGGACGTCATAGCAGTCGGGCGACGGCGACGGCGGGCGCGGCGGCGGCGGCGACGGCGGCGGCGGCGGCGGCGGTTTAGGGTTTTTAGGCGGAAGCGGACGTAACCTAGCGTGATACCATGTAAGACAATAAGCTTTGGGGGAAACCGGCACAACCCTCTAGGGGTGGCTTATCACACATATATATAATGAGGTGGTATACAACGTTACAATATACACATGTAAATACAGTCTAACAAGGTGGAGTTGCATGGATAGGAAAAAATGTATAAATTATGAGGATTAACTATGTTGCCATTGCATGTTGATGATGTGACAAATGTGCATGACTTATTGATGTGGATGAGTTGCATGGATGGGAACAACATATATAAATTGTGAGAATTAACTATGGTGGTGATAATGGCGTGGCAAACACGCATTACTTATTGATGTGGATGCATTGTATGGATAGAAAAGAATGCTAATGTGAAGCATGCAACTAAAGAATATAAAAAAGAAAGCAATTGATGAGGTGATATATGTGATTGTGTGTGTTTTAAAAGAATATAAGTATTGGGCATCAACTATTTACTTGCCATTTCTACTTCTCCAGGGAGAAATATTCATCGATGCCAAGCTAATCCTGGTTGCAATTGTGATGGTGTGCATTCGTGGAAGGGGTGACACTCATGCTATGGGACGAGCTGCCCGATGAAAGGTTTCTTTCAAACAACAAACTTGTTAGCGAGGGTGATGACACAGGTCTACCATGATGGCAACAATGGTAGGTGCAACTGCTAACAAGTTTGGCGTGATGGAAGCAGCCTTCACCGAGGCTGCTCGGCCAATAACATGAGTGGCACGCTGCCCATCAATGAATGCACACCACCGGTTGTCCTAACAAGTGGTCGGGGGATGATTTGAGAGAGATGTTGCTGCTTCCAATGAGATGCTTCATGTGGAGGCTTGTGAAGGTGGTCGATGCTTAAAATAGGAGACAGTGCATGAAGGCCTCTTGAGGCCACAAGAGCTTCACGGGTGTTGTGCGGTAGGTGGGAAATTGGTTGCATGCATGCATGCATGTCTAGGCGTATGGACCACAGCTTGCCCATTGTATTGACTGAGCACCCATGAGTGGGCACCCATTGGATACCCTCAAGAATTTCCAGGAAGAAGAACCATTCGTGTACGTAGCTAGGCATCCATAATTAGTGAGACGATTTGGTCTTGTATGAATGTATATGCTTCTAGGCCTGAGATTGAGTCGAACAGAAACATGAAACATCTTAGTAGCCAAAGTAAAATATTAAACCTTATTTATTTTTCGAGTTCCATTGATTTTATCTTTAGGAAATGCATATGACATTCTTGTTCTTGTTCAAGATCCAATCGGTACTTTGTGTGCATGATTGACTAGCTTTCTAATCCCTTGTTTTGACTTTTGAGATTGTAAATTTGCACAATGCATGCAGTGTTGCTTGATTGCTTGTTTTGAGAGTGTTTTATTATTAAGATGCTTTAACTAATTGAACCAAGCAATTGTATTTTAGATAATTATGTTTATGTTCGACGGTTTATGTATATATAACATTTAATGTTTCAATATTCCTCTCCCTGATTGCCAAGCAAATCTTCAAATTTAGCCACAACATTTTATCTATTTGATCTCTTTCTAGTTCAGTTACTGTGTTAGGGATAACTCAAAATTAAATTAACACACATATCTATTTAGCCTCCCCTCTCACTAAAACCCAGCTAATTAGATAATATTTTCCATTCTATTTATAATATGTGGCATCCTTATGGTATAAGCGGCCTAGGATACAACATACTGCAGTAACCATACCCATTCCACATTATTACAACGTGAAGTCCAATTGTAATTCAACGGTTGGATTTTTGTAGGCTGATACCCGAAAACTCATGGGACACGGTTTAGAAATAGCCTCACGGACCCATTGGGTACCATTTGATAGGTGGGCCCATATGGAAGTGACCCAGGTCATATAGGTAGTCTCGAAGCCCAATGACCCAAAGGTGAATACATGTCTGTACTTGTGATGTATGCAAGGCTAAATATATGTAATGTAATATGAGCAGACTTTTAATATTGTTATTGTTATCATACACACCGTTGTGGTTCTTTTTTTTATTGTGGATGTCCAGCGGACAAGACACGAGCAGAAGCTGTGATCCGTTAATGTTTTCATGGCCGAGAAAATGGGAAATGGATGTACATGGATATGGTCATAGATTTGAAAGAGGGTTGACTGTCCAACATGGCCTCATTGCCATCCGCAGATAAACTAGGGACCTCTAGTGCGAAAATGCCTTTTGGAGCTCGGCCTCCATGGAGGCCGGTTTTTTAAAAACACAAAATTCATGAAAATTCATATTTTTACAATTCAAAAAAATCTGAAAAAAATTATAGATATACATGGAGGCATAACACACATGTGTATAAATTTTTAGAACGAAATACGTTGAAATGAAGGCTGTGCAAAAAAAGACAAATCTGGGGCTTTTTAACACATGTTACTATTCATTCTCAAAGTCCCGAAATTTGTCTTTTTTGTATAGGTCGCATTTTGAAGTTTTTCATCTTGAATTTTTACACATACATACATTTCATCTGTGTATAGTTGCATATTTATTTTTAGAATTTTTTGATGTCAAAAAGTTTGAATTTTGAATTTTTCAAAAATAAAGGGCTCCATGGAGCTCGGTCACCAAACGCCCTACTCCCTCTAGTGGACACTCATTGTCGTCCAATAGAGGTGCCGATACCTGAACCGAGGCACTAATGGTCTGACCCACTCCAAAGCGCTCAGTTACGCAGGACAACAATATTAATAAATTTTTGGTGTATACTTTAAAAAAGTTCAGTGTGTATTAGGGGAAAATGTTCATCGTATGTTAAAAAAATTTAACCACATATAAAAATTGTTCATCGTATATTAGAAAAAAAAATTGATGTGTATTAAAAAATGTTTACCCTCTATCAAAAATGTTCAGTGTCTATTAAAAAGGTGTTCAATATATATTAGAAAAGTTTGCCGTACAGAAAACTATAAGAAAGAAAAGGTGAGAAAGGAAAAAGGGAAGAAAACCAGGGAAAAATCAAACCCCAAGATAAGATAAAAATAAAGTAAAATCATAAAATGTGAAAAAAAAACATAGAGAAACCAAAAAAAATAGAAGAAAAGTAAAAAAACTACGTAGCATTCAGCGAACGAAACAGAGCAACCGCACGCGAACTCTGGAACTAGGCTGACTCTGTCTCAGCTGCAAGCGTCAACTAGGGTTGTTGATAAATCATACTCCGTTCGTTCCAGAATATAAGGTGTGATTTCCATGCAAGTCAACCATTTGAATGTTTGACCAAAAATATACAATGAAATAACATCACCTGCAATACTAATAGACAAAATATGAAACTACTTTTCATGATCGATCAAATTATATAAATTTCATATTGTGGATATTGATATATATTTTCAAAAAACTTGGTCAAACAAGCACTCATTTGGCTTTTGAAAAAACAAATACACCTTATATAAAGGAAGGAAGAGAGTACTTCTTTAGATGTTTCGATAAATTATTATGTAACAAAAAAACAAATTAGAAGCGAATGGTTCAAGTCTACCATGGTTCAAGTCCTAGACTTGACACTAATGCTCGCATTTTTCTGGATTTGTTTTAGGTCTTTAGGCAACATGCGTTCAGCGGGAGGAGACGTTTCCGTCGACTACGAAGATGTCTGTGGCGACTTTGTCAATTTCAAGATGATGTGCCAGCTCAATCTCTCGAAAGAGGTCAAAGGGGTGGGTTGTGTCTGCCTGTATCCGTAGACATAAGTGTGCGAGCATTTCCGTCTGTATACTTTAAAAAACAACTCAACTCGGACTTAAGAAAACTCAACATGGACTTTGGTGGGCCGTGAGAAAGCACATTTAACGTCAAGCCCAACCCAAACCACAGTGGGAGAGAAAACAAAAACTTAAACCCATATCTAAACCCCTAGTGGGCCACACGGCTCTTCGTCTCGGCTCGATCCCCATTTCTCCCTTCCTCCCGCTAGGGTTGCGCCGCCGCCAATGGCCGCCGCCGCAGCCGCCGCCGCCATGGCGCGCAGGCTGCTCTCCCCCTCGGCCTCCACCTCCGCCCGCTTCCTCCTCTCCCGCCACCTATCCTCCGCCCCTTCTTCCTTCCCGCGCGGCGGCGCCCCGGCGGCGCTGATGGACATGCTGCGCCCGGCGGCCGTCGCCCCCCAATCCTTCCATCAGCTGATCCGCAATGCTGTAGGTGCACCACCCCTCTCCCGCTCCAGCTTCTTACACACGATCTGCGGTGCTACGTTTCCTACTGGTTGCTCAAATTTGGTGATGGCTGAAATTGTGCGTTCGCCGCTGGTTGTTTCTTTGCAGGGGATATCGACCACGAGGAGCCTACTTGCTGATGATGATGCAATGGTCCCTGTTTCTTCCCCGTTGTCGTCGCCGTTGGGGGCTGCGGAAGGGACCGACAACAAGGGAGCAGTGGTGAAGCGGACGAAAGTCCAAGCCATCAAGAAGGACATCAAGCAGGTAAACATCAATTCAGTAACTCAGTTGTACTGTAGTAGTTAGTTATATTCCTCAGAGATATCCTAAAACGCTTGACTAAGCACATGTGTTGTGTAGCTCTGTGACAGCCATGTCAATTGTCAAGTATGCAGTTTTCTGGAAGCTTCCCTTCAACATGTAGTTTTGTCGAAATACATGTCATTTCCATGAAACTTACTGAAAATTGCTTAGGCGCATGAAGCTTTTTATGCACCTCATCTACAATTGTTAAATATGTGTTCCTGAGATCTGCAATGGCTACTTAGCCTACTGTTAGTCATAACGATGAAAGTAGAAAGCTTCTAGTGCATGTCTGCCCTTAGCAGAAGCTGCAATTGTTTCTTCATGCCAATTGAAAATGTGTTTGTAGCTTCTATCCATCACTCAATTTATGCATTGGCTGGTAAACATTTTCTTATCCCACTTCACTGGAATACAATGGTGAGCACGTAGAGAGATTAAGGCTGTGCAGCATACTTTATCAGCTGGTTATTCATCACTAAATTCATATATTAGTTGGAAAACATTTGCTTACCTCACTTAGCTGCAATACAATGATGGACACGTAGAGAGACTAAGGCTGCCCAGCAGACTTTATCAACTAGTTATTCATTGCTGAATTTATATGTTGGCTGGAAAACATTTGCTTATCTTACTTCGCTGGAATATAATAATGGGCATGTAGAGAGACTAAGGCTGCCTAGCAGACTTCATGAACTGGTGTACTGCTCATAATATATTGCTAGTACCATCAAGAGATATTTGTTTCTCCAATTGATCTTAATGTTCCTGGTTGTTTTAGAGCCCCAAGAAGGTAAATCTGGTAGCCAAGCTGGTTCGAGGAATGCGCGTGGAAGATGCCCTTTTACAGTTGCAAGTGACGGTTAAAAGGGCCGCGAAAACATTGTACCAGGTTCGGCAATCAGCAAAAAAAATAATGTTACCTACTCAAGTAACTCTACTTTCTGCGATAGGTCCAGACTGACCATTGATGTTTTTAAATAAAAATTTCTTCCTATCAATTGCTGTAGGTTATCCATTCTGCTCGTGCGAACGCAGCTCACAACCATGGACTGGATGCAGATAAACTTATTGTGGGTAAGATTGCCACAAAGCTGCTCACATTTACGTCAACATCTGCAATAAATTAGATCTCATCTCCCTCCTTGACACTGCAGAAGAGGCTTTTGTGGGAAAAGGACTTTATCTTAAGAGGTTGTCTTACCATGCCAAAGGGAGGTGTGGTGTCAGGGAGAGACCTAGGTGCAGGCTGACGGTGGTGGTCAGAGAAGCCACAGCCGAGGAGGAAGCCAAGATTGCGAAACTCAGGGTCATGAACTACAAGAAGCTCACCCGGAAGGAGAAGCAGCTCATGCCGCACCGGCTTATCGAGGTCAGCCCCAAGTGGGCTCGCAAAAGGAAAGAGGAGGAGGAGGCTGGTGCTTCAGCGTAGTACGAGTTTCCGTTTGCAGCAGGGTCCGTCTTTCTTCCCGGGCCTGGAGCCAGAGACTAGTAGCTGGATCTGTACTGAAGAACAGCCGTGGCGTGGGGTTCCATACTGAAGAATCTGTGATCTCGTCTGCCCGACCAGCCTCTGTTGTGTTTGTGTCATCCATACGAAATCTTTCAAGACATTTGCTCTAGTTGACAATGAATAAGTTGACCTCTGATGTGTTGTTCGGCACGTCTGTTCTTATACATGCCATCGGTCTGTTTCTTGAATTCATGGAGCAGTGGAAGTGCTGGTTCTTTTTGTCTCGGCAACGCTAGTTGTGCGAACCACATTTTGAATTTTTGATACTAGTTGCCGCCTCCCCTCAGAAGTTGATATTTAAGGGTGTTTAGGTTGTGGGTGTGTTATTTTTTGAAAAGTTGTTATGAATGGTGTTAATCAATGGTTAGATATTCTCTCAAATTCTGGACCGAATAAAATGCATTTCTTGCAACTTGATTAATTTTCCTTGTTGAGAAGATGCAGCCTGATTAGTTGTCTGTTGAATACTCCCAAACCTAATAGCTGAGTAAATCGGAGTATTATTAGATTATTTATTTTAAGATTTAAGTCCGGCCTGCCAAACCTAATACTCCCTCCATTCTACAATGACTGTTATGGTTTTAGTAGTTTAAATTTTGAACAAGCACACCTAGCAGCCCAGTCAAGACAGACTTGAAAAGTAAGGGGAAACAAGAAAATGTAATAAGTAAGAAAAACATATATTTCTAGAAATTTTAATGATGCTTGTTAGTCCAAGATATATATTCTAGAAAAACACATCGGATTCAAAATCATTTATTATTATATATATTTCCAACTTATCACATTCTCCATTGCCTTTCAATGATGATCCTGTTTTCTAAATTTCATTGAAATCTCTACAAATTTTCCTTCAGTTTGTTAATGGTAGTTGACGCAGCGGGTGGTACACATGGGGTGGATTATAAAATCAACTCATTACTTTTATTGCTGGGCAATGTGGATGAATCGTCTCGTCTACGTGCGAGAGTTTGTTCATTTTTTTCTGCAGAGCCTGACATTGGCGCAACGATGGGATTTTTTTGGATAATTACTGGACTTCTTTCACGGGGGATGCTCACGCTATTACTATTTCTTCTCATAATAATAACGATTTGTTGTCCGTTGACCATCATAAGGGTGACCCTCGTCGTCCATGAAAGCATGTACTCCCTCCGTTCCTAAATATTTGTCTTTTTATATAGGTTTCAAATGGTGACTACATACGGAGCAAAATGAATGAATCTACACTCTAAAATATGTCTATATACATCCATATGTGGTGACCATTTGAAATCTTTAGAAAGATAAATATTTAGAAACGGAGGGAGTACTTGTATATATATGCGACTCACACTAAAATATACAAAAAAAGATCCGAGTGGCGCAGCGGAAGCGTGGTGGGCCCATAATCGACAGGTCCCATGATCAAAACCTGGCTTTGATAATTGATTTTTTTTAATGATTTTTGCTGTTTTTCTTTGAGAGGATGTGATTTTTTTGTTGGGCCCGTTTTTATCTGGTTGGGCTTTGTCATTTTTTGGGGCCCTTTTCTTATTCGTCATCTCTGATTGTGTTTTCTTTCTTCTGCTGGACCCGGTTGTATCTAGTTGGGATTTGTCATTTTGTTGGGGTCCTTTTCGTATACCTCCATCTCATAATAAATTCTGATTGTGCTTGTTGCCTTCTTCATTAACTAAAAAACAGGTTTCTTCATTTTCTAAGGCCCATATTTTGCTCGGTCGTGATTAATGATGCACTAATTGGTCGTGGTTAATGCAAGACATGTGTGGTCGAAGAGACAGAAGAAAAGGAAATTCATCCGGTTAACTATTTTGACAGGTTCATTGACCAATAACCTAAATCAACGATAATTGTTTTTCCTAAACCTAGGACATTTTTTTCATGGAATTTGCACAATCCTCTCGGGAGTTAGAATAATCTATCGTAAACCTGAAATAATTATTTTTCTTGAATATGAAACATTGCTCTTTAAAAAAATATTTTATTCTAAAAACAATGGAGGTACCACGTCAATGTAGTACCAACCTAGTTTGGCAGCAATTTTTCATAGGCCTACACGGGTATCACACAAGCATCGGCCGCCAGCGGTGCTCCGATAGATTTTTCATAGGCCTACATGGGTATCGCACAATTTTTCCTCAATATATGCTCTGATCCAAGAAATAATCAAAATCACAAAAGCAATGATGAACAGACCAGACTCATGAAAAAGAAAATATCAAGAAGAAAATATCAAGATAGATACATGATGAGTTATTTCTTTCCTTCCTCGGATGGATTTTAATGAAGGACTTTGTGTTGGTGTATAGATAATGTAATTAATTAGGTGAGTCCTCAGGGCCTAAAATGTAAATTGTACAAACAATATATAAATCAGCACAAAGAGAATGGATCGGTGAGGAATGATCCCGAATTTTCCCAAATGCTCTTCACTCTCCCTCCAATCCCTAGCTCAAATTCCTCAAATCTCAGATGATTTTCAACATGGCATCAGAGTAGGTTAATCCTGTGTGGACCTTGGTGATGGCTAATTGTGGTGCTGTGTCGCCATGATTTACTGCTATGGGCACTCGAGCTGCCGCCATGACCTGCGGCATCATCTCCAAGCTACAACACGGAGTACTGCGACAAACCTAAGGACTCACCTAATTACATTATCTATAATTAAATAAGATGTAGGCTACTCGCATCATGCAAGAGTTGACTAACTTGAAGCAAGGTTCAAAATCAATGACTAAGTATGCAGGTGAGATGAAGAGATTGTATAGGGAGTTGCACTATTACCATCCTTTTCAACCCGTTGACAAGAGTGACGTGGTTGTTCACCATACCTGGTTTGAACCATTTGTGGGTAAGCTCTTCCCTGATGGCCTAAATCAGGAGTTTGATCTCCACCGCCAGCTAACACTATCCAAAACTGAATGGCTAAGCCTTGATAATATCATTTCCATTGTGATTGAGGAGGAGACTCGTCTTGCTCAACCCAATGAACATGTTCAAGAAAAATCAGATGCACGTGATGATGAGTAAATGTGTAATTTTTCGATTAATTTAATCCAGGAAATGATCATGAACATGGCATTGGCGAAATTAATGACATACTGGATTCCATCTAAATAAGCACGTACTACGCAAACAGTAAACACATCTACACATAATGTCAGTACGGCTAACACAGAAATAAACATGAGCGGGATAAACGAGTTAAACCCTCCGAATAATTTGTTACTCCGTAACAACCCACGAATATTTTAGCTAGTTTTCGTAGAAATCACGTAGCACAAACACACAACGTCACTTTATTCTTCCAGCATACCGTAGTACAGTAGTCACAGGGAGAGAGGGACGACGTACACGCTGGTACGTACAGTACGTAGTATTCCGTTACTACGTGCCATTCGCGGGGCAGGAGGCTAGCCGATGACGGGGGTCTTGGAGACGACGCCGCCGAGGTCGATGAAGACGCGGACACGCTCGAAGTCGTAGTCGTGAGTCACCGCCGCACCGGTCGGGAGCACCTCGACGGCGACGTCGGGCCGGTCGTGCGCGATCTGCGCCGCCGCCAGCGTCGCCAGGATGCCCACCAGCTCCGGCCACGACGACTTGCTCATCTTGGGAGTTGGGACCTAGGTAACTCGTGAGCACTGATGGAAGATGATAAGCTAGCTAAGATCCGTATCTAAGTGGCGTGTTGCACCATGGTGTATTTATAGGGATTAGGGAAAGCCATCGTACATTTCTAAACATGTTTGCACCTCGTTTGGTCAGTGCCATTTCGGTGGTGGTGCTCCCTGGACGGGAGGAATTAGGTATCATCATAAGAGTGATCGTCGACAACCCTTGCTTGCTTGCTAACTGAGCTGCTATCATATGTAAAGTGACGTCGCAAACTTAACAAGCAGATCAGAGTGGCGCAGCGGAAGCGTGGTGGGCCCATAACCCACAGGCCCCAGGATCGAAACCTGGCTCTGATACGTTCTTTTCTTTGTGATTTTTTACCTGTTGGCCTCAGTTCAATATGATTGGGCATTTTGTTTTTTCAGGCGTGTATGATTGGGCTTGATGATGAGCAGAGCAATGTTTCAACCACCAGCCAGCCCATGCGGTTATATGCAGCTTATTGCGCATATATCTAAAAAAAACTAAATTTACTTACCAATTTTGAAAACATGAATTTCAAAAAACAATGTTAACATACTATAAAAATAATTTATAGCAGTTTTGAAAATGTTGATAACTTAAAAAACATTCCCGCATTTCAACAAAATGCGTGCAATTTTCTACAAAAATATTTAAAAAATGTTTCATGCCACTAAAAGAATGTACGTCACATTTGATGGAAATATTCCCATGTTTCAAAAATATGGTCATAAATAACGAAAAACATTACTCCCTAACATCTTATATTATGGGACGGAGTAAGTAACATTTTTTTATAACTTTTCTTTTATGAGGAGCTTCAGCCAAAAAAGACAATTTTTGGGTGTGTGAGAAACTTTGAAAAAGAACACTATTTGGAGCTGATTTTGTTTTAGTATGAGCTCCTCGGATGTCTAAAGAACACGAAAATTTGCACGCACCCTTGAGCACATGAGCATCTTGGATTCCTAAAAATTATGTTTGTTTTTATTTTTACTATATTTTTTGAGTTTACTGTCCACCGCATGAAGATGAGTCTGGGCACCGTTTTGAATTATCGCTTTTTATTTATATATTGTAAGAATGCGAAAATTCTAAGGGTTTAGGGTTTTACGCTTTTTAAGATACTTCGGTCTTGGTATTTGTTCTAACTACCAATACTGATTTAATTATCAACACAAACGATGCAATCCCAACAAAATGTAACAATTTTTAGATCATAAATATGTTAGATGTAGCATGCTTCGCCCACTCAGTGTTTGCCTCCTGGTTCTAAGAGCATAGATATGTCCTCGAGTCCTTAGGAATTGCCCTTGCATCCTGTGTACTTCAACTCATACTTCCTTTATCCGAGCGGCTTTATGTGATTTTCAGATATTCAGAGTGGATTAAAAATCTTGACGTTCCGCTTTGCATAAAATTGTTGATGGTTGGGCGGACTAGAATAAATAGATCAGGAAAGAAGGGATATAGGGGTGCAGCCAGAGCTTGGAGTCATGGTGGAATGATGAAAATTCGCATCATACAGTATATTCGCTGCACGGTTTTGAATTATTGCTTTATATTCATATATTGTAAGAATGCAAAATTTCCAAGGGTTTAGGGTTTATGCTTATTAAAATACTTTGGTCTTGCTATTTGTTGTAACTACCAATACTGATTCGGGCGCTGCTCCTCTCGCCGGCAGCGGCGCCGGCGCCCCGTTACCCCTGCCGGTTCCTCTCCCTCACCGCCCGAATCGATAAATAGGATGGTGACACGTGCTATTAGTTGGGGAAATTATGTTGTATATTAGTTTTCATCTGGTACATTAAAAAACATGGTTTTTCCTTTTTTTCCTTTTCCCTTTTTTCTTTTGGTTTTTTCATTTTTTTTACTTTTTCATTTTTAATGTACTTTCCATTTTGTGAACATCTTACAAATTCATGTCCATTTTTAGGAATTGTGAACATATTTCTGGGATCACAAACATTTTTTGAATGGAAAATGTTTGGGGCCAGCGCGGGGGCCGAACGCTCGGCCGGTCGCGACTCGCATGACGGGGACGACACACGATTTTTTGTTGCTACAACAGGCAGTTAGGGAAGCTTCTACCAACGCTGGGATTTTTTGTTGCAACCATGGGGGCCTCCTGGAACTGCGGCTGTTCGGGATCGAGAATGGCGAGCAGCGGCAAGGTGGTGAGGTCATCAGCGCCCTCCCCCTCCCCCTCCCGATTTCGATGATACTTCTAGCATTGTCGGAGGGTGTGTGAGGTTTGTCTTATGTGGATCCGTACGGATTCGTTCTTCTTTGGCATGTGTTCGTGTGTCTACATGTTGGATCCTTTCGATATATGCGTGTTTTCATCGTCAGCGGTTGTTGTTTTGGTGCGTTGATCCGGTGGGATCGTAGCACGACGACATACGCATTGTATACTACAACGATGTTTTGCCTGACACCGTTGAGAGAGGGGGCGATGATGGCATCTGACTGATGAAATTCATTCTTATGTCAAACTTCGAAAAGATTTTGAGAATAACTTCGGGAAAATTAGAAGAGTCAGGTAAGATCCTGGGAAAAGACCTGTGGGTTTGATGTGGTTGATAGTTGAGAAAGCCAGGTTGTGGAGGTGTCCAAGTTCTCAGTGTTTATGGCATTTGATTGACCTAGAAAACTAAGCTACAAGCCGTTATTTTTGCTGCTAATCACCAAACGTTGAAGTACGATAGCATTGCAACTCTAAACAAGCAAATTAGAGTGGCGTAGCGGAAGCGTGGTGGGCCCATAACCCATAGGTCCCAAGATCGAAACTTGGCTCTGATATGATTTTTGGGTGATTTTTTCTGTTGGCCTCAGTTCAATATGATTGGGCTTTTTGTTTTTTCAGGCGTGTATGATTGGGCTTGATGATGAGCAGAGCAATGTTTCAACCACCAGCCAGCCCATGCGGTTATATGCAGCTTATTGCGCATATATCTAAAAAAAACCTAAATTGACTTACCAATTTTGAAAACATGAATTTGAAAAAACAATGTTAACATACTATAAAAAATAATTTATAGCATTTTAAAAAATGTTGACAACTTAAAAAAAATGTTCGTGACAATGAAAAAATGTTCCCACATTTCAAAAAAATGCGTGCAATTTTCTAAAAAAATATTTAAAAAATGTTTCATGCCACTAAAAGAATGTACGTCACATTTGATGGAAATATTCCCATGTTTCAAAAATATGGTCATAAATAACGAAAAACGTTACTCCCTAACATCTTATATTATGGGATGGAGTAAGTAACATTTTTTATAACTTTTCTTTTATGAGGAGTGGCGCAGCGGAAGCGTGGTGGGCCCATAACCCACGGGTCCCAGGATCGAAACCTGGCTCTGAGAATTTCTTTTTTTTTGTGATTTTTTAACCTGTTGGGCCCTTTCTTTTACGTCCACCTGATAAATTCTGATTGGGCCTTTTCATCCATTGGAAACAGAGCGGTTGGGCTTCTCCATTTTCGCTAGGCCCATATTTTGTCGGTCGCCCATTTTTTCTGCTTAGTTTGACTTAGAGGCTAGAGCATCTTGTACTGAAAAATATACTCCCCCCAGTAAACAAATATAAATATAAGACCTTTTAGATCACTGGAGTATATTATAAAAAGGTTGACTTAATTATCCGGTGTATTCCCCTCAAAACAAAAAGAGGCATACATTGTTATATTACTTCCCATCTTGTGCATCTAAGATTGCATATTCATAGATCCGTTTGATTTTTGTTTGTTTCTTTCAGCCTGAATCGATAAATAGGATTGTGACACATGCTATTAGCTGGGGAGATGATGATGTATGGACTGGTACATTTTTAAAAAATCACGGTTTTTCTGTTTTACTTTTTTATGTTCTTTGTTTTTATTTTATTTTTTATTTTTACTTTCCAATTTTCTTGCATTTTTATTATACTTTCCATTTTGTGAACATCTTACAAATTAATGAGCATTTTTAAAATCATAAACATTTTTTTAAATTCACAAACATTTCTTTGAGAACGTGATCATTTGCTGGAATCGTAAACAATTTTAAAATTAGGAAACTTTCTTTTACAAACTCGTGGCTTTTTTTGAAATCATTGATATTTTTTGAATTCGTGATCATTTTTAAAACAATTGCGATTTTTTTAAATATGAATTTCTTTGAAACTTGTGAACACTTTTTGAATCGAGTAACATTTTTTGAATTTGAACAATTTTTGGAATACACAAACATATTTAGAAAACTTTTTTGTAATTCATGGAACTTTTTGAATATTTTTAATTGGCGAATATTGTTTTGAATCAATGAACTTTGTTTGAAATTGGGGAACCATTTTGAAATTCGCAAACATTTTTTAATTCTATGAGCATTTTTTATTGCGCTACCAATTTTTCAAATTCACGAGCATGATAAAAGGGAATGTGCCGAGTCAGCAGTTATTTTCAACTGACATGTGAGCTTGTAATAAGCCGTTACTAACAGTAGTCATCGAATGAAGAAATATGTGATTTTGTTGTTATCATCCAAACACTAAAAAGGGAATGCAATAAACAAAAAGAACTAAAATTCTATTCTCTACCATATTAAGTGCTTATTAGTTCATGTAGCCCGCTTTAGTACTTGTTTCTATCGAACAAAGGCATACAAAACGATTTGCACCATTTGGATCAAACGAGGATCCACCACGTGAAAAATGTTGACTAGACCCATGCCAAAAAAAGGGACATCCAATTTATACTACTTCTATATCGCAAACTAAGGACAATTTCCAAAATGTTATTTGTTAGCACCTTCACTCTTTTTCGAGGTTAGTTAGCACCTTCACTCTAGTTGATGGGTTTTGTCATCGATCACCCATGTCTTGCTTTTATATAAATAGTAGAGAATGAATGTTCATTTACGACTTCACTTAAAAAGAGTGTTCTTCATGCGGGTGTTATAGGCGGTTTCTTTGTCATGGCAATTCTGCC